TTTATCTTTTCTACCTATTTATATTAGGAACAGGAAACTTGTTCAGAATTACTTCATGCATTCTGTCTATCTAAATAATACTTAACTTTGGAACTTCCCTTGCAGCATTGCTATCTGCTTCTTTCCCTCCATTAAACTGGATCATAACTAATACCTTAAAATTCCTAGAAACAACTGTAATCTGTCCAAATGAAATTTCCTTGGGTGTCTGCTGGTTCTTGACCCAACTCAAAACCTATTACACTCTTGCTTTATACCTTTTTAACCCCAATGTAAGTTTTAAATGATGGTTGAAATTGGTAGTGATAAAAATCATGCTGTAAAAATATTGGAAATATAATTCTGCAATGATTGGGACTGGAATACATCCACAAACAAACTATAGAAACTGCACATGTTTCACTTTCTGTCCTCACTCTGCACTTGCTTGTTTGCTTGCTTAACATGCAACCAGATTTGTCCTCCTCATAGGAACAGTTTTTACTAGAAGACACATCTATTGCTTGCTTGTTGTGAAAGACCACTTTTTCTTATTTATTTATTTAAAGGTTTTATAGACAGTTCTATAGCAAATGCTCTCAGAATGGGTTACAGCATAAACATAGCAATAACAATAACATCCATAGTAATAATAAGAATTTCAAAGCTAAAACCTCAACACGGAAAATAAAATAATAATGTACAACACAGAATACTGATCTACTCAATCATAATCAGAACAGAAAACAATATAAAATCAAACCACCTATTCAACAATTAAAATGACGGGAGAATAAAATGGTTTTGACCTGCACTGAAAAGTATACAGTGTTGGTGGCAGGCACAGCTCCCTGAAAAGTTGGTTCCAAAAGTGGGGCCCCACACTGAGAAGGCCCTTCCCCTCATGGCCGCCTTCCTTGCTTCTTTTAGCTGTGGCTCATGGAGAAGGACCTCTGTAGATGATCTAAGGCAGGGGTCCTCAAACTTTTCCACCAGGGGGCCAGTTGAAAGCTGGAGGTGCTGGGTGTGGGCCGGAAAGGTGGTGCCGGCAGTGTGCGTGGGCCGGCGCAGGGGTGGGGGCTGCACATGCAGGCAAGCACGCTGAGGGGGGCGGCGGGGCACGCAGTGAGGCAAGGTGCAGGCGGGCATGCACGTCCAGCAAGGGGAGGCGAGGCATGGGCAGGCATGCGTGTGCCTCCCCAGTGAGGGGAGGCGAGGCGCGGGTGGGAGCGGGCTCACGCCATGAGGCAGGCGCACAAGGCAGCAGCTTGCTCGCTTGGAGATCATTTTCTCCAAGCAAGAAAACTGCTGCGTCCCCGCGTGCGGGGCGAGGTAGGCAATGGCGTGCACGCGGCGGGTCCAGATGGGCATGGCGGGCTGGATCCGGCCCCCGGGCCTTAGTTTGAGAACCCATGATCTAAGGGTATGTGTAGGTGTGTATGGTAGGATGCATCCTTTTAGATATCCAGGCCATATGCTGTCTAGGGTTTATATGTTAATGTAAGCACCTTGAAGCAGGCCTGGACTTCAACTGGCTTATATGTTCATACCAGTCCAGCCCAGTTAGCAGAAAGTCAGAGCCACACCCCCAAGCCACACTTACTTCATGTTTTATTACATTCATACCCTACTCTCAAGCCAAGAAGCTTCCACAGAACAGATGTAGTTCTATTCTTCCAAGAGCAGCAGTCTGGATTGCCGATCACTGTTTGGTTTAATTTTTTGTGGCTTTGCAACCACTGACTGTGTGTGCATATGTGTGGAAGATCCTCCATGAGTCCAGTGTCCATTGTTCAGGAGTTCCAGATTCTCAAAATATCCAATACTCTCCTTGGATAACTTTTAGGCAGTACAGCTATATCTATGTACATGCATGAATGTATGTTTACACTCAGACACACACACACATTATGTGACTGGAGAAATTGCTCCAATGAAATGACTGCTAATTCAGAAATATTCAATGAGCATAAACATTGGTAGAATATGATAATTCTAATTTATGAACATTTATGGCTAGCTACTATCAATAGCTACTCTTAGAATATTCTTTGCCTTTTGGAAAAACTCACTTCAGGTATCCTCATTGTTTTTATTTCCTTCCCACCCACCAAATATGTTATATTTTGATGGTACGCAATTATAGCATAGCTGGTTTCCAAACTTGTTGAAGGAGGAGTAGAGAACCTCAGGATGAGTAACTAAATCCAGTCCTCCTGGATCTGGCCCCATTCCCAAATGGCCACACTCCTTCCCCTGGCTTCACCTTCTTTATCCTGGCTATTGATCACTTGGGGTGGTTTGGGTTCACTCCATTCTAAAGCACTGAAATCGCTCTCCTGAGATTCACTTAACTTTAAGCTGCAATGTGCTGGTATTTTTCCATACCCCCTTTGCTTTTGGGCCTGCCCACCGCTGGAATGTGGTACTCAAAAGCTTCTTCAAGGTGGAATTCAGTCCTCAAGCTAAAAGGGATTATGCACCACTGGGGTGGGATATTGTTAATATACAACACACAGATTTATGGAGGAAATAATACCAATTGGTATGAGGTATGACCCAGTGATACAGTGCAGACCCTGTTTGCTAAGGGCTCCAGGTTTAATCCCTGGTCTGTCCCCCTAAATCCAGAAGAGCCACTGCCAATCAACATACACAGTAGTGAGCTAGACAGACCAGTGGTGCCCCACAGCCTCAGAGGTTTCTGTGTGAGAACAGCCTCACCATTCACTTCCCAATCCTATGAGTTTTCCCTAGCCATTCACTACACAGTTGCGGGATCAAGGTATTCTTTCTCCTCACCCCTCTCCTTCCCTGCCCCTTCCCCAATAGATTTGGAACATTATCTAATTCAGTTTGTTCAGCTCATGTTCAACAAAGTATAACCAACACTGCAACACTGAACAATGCATTTTTAGTGACTTCCTTACCAGTATGAAAATACCTGAACTGTTTTTGCACACAAAACTCTCTTCAGAGGCAAAATTAGAAGGTTGCCTCCAGTCGCTTCTCCCTCGCCCTGCCTTTTGGTCCTTGAGATGCCTTGTGAAGTGTCAGATGGCTCAGCTCTGGCTGAGGCAGCTGTTCTAAAGCAGATGCAGTGGGAAGAGTTTTCATCACAATGGGAACCACAGGAAAGCTCTCAGAGTTTCTCCTCCCCACTATTGAAGGCTCCTTTCAGTTGAGTGGTTTGCACATTAGGATGAATAAAGGACTAGACACACCACGGGATACATTTGCAGCAGAGTGTGTAGGGAATTAGACACGCAACCCTTGAGAACAATAATGGCATAATGGCAGTTCTGTGCAGAATTCTCTGTGCAGCACAGTGGATATAGTCCTCTTAAATGTTCCAGTTCACAGTTGTTTCTTTGCACTGTTGATGTCTGGAGCCAGGGAGCAAACTGAAAAGGTCAGTCTTTTCTTATTCTGTGCCTGCAGTTCTTTCCTGCACATTTTGAAGGAAAAGTTGTAACACACTTCCCTGTTCATGTGTCACACATTGTCATTGCAGCCTTATATGTGGCTACTCAAAAATAAATCCCACTAAGTTCCCATAGGAGTGTTGCTTCAGGGTTTAACATTTACTTAAATTGTCTTCCAGCAGCTTATATTTTGCCATACTATGCTAAAAATGCACTTTCAATTCTTAACATATGAATTACACTTAAACACTTACAGGTGCAGCTACTTTGAAGCTGTAGTCTTTATGATTCTATCGAGAGAGACTGCTATAATTTTTCATATTTCCATACTCAGCTGCAATGTCATACTTCTTTTTACAAAGACCTGAGATAAACTGTATGGTGTATGGAATGAGTGGGCAAAAGCTAGACCTCCAAGAGTTTTCTACTTTAACTCTGAGAAGCCCTTGGCAGCATTTTTGATGGCCAGGAATGATGGGAGATGAAGTCTGAAACGTCTGGAGATCTACTTCCTGTCCAACCCTTTGGGTAAAATTAGTGCAATATATTTTGACATCATGAACACCTACAGCAGCTGTAACCCAGGAGTTCTTATAATATCATGCAGTATCCTGAAGACCACTTATATAATTATATCCCGCAGCTGCCAAGAAAAATGCGCAATTCTACAATTTCATTCTAGTACCTATGGTTAACAGCACATCTCTCTCACTACATTCTGCATTCATTTCCTAGAGCATCTGAAAAATATTTTGCCCCATGGAACATTTGCAGAAGAATAGCCCACTGAATTTGGATACCTTTGTGACTCTTCTCAAACCTCACTTTAACTTTTAAGCAAGGTTTTAGTACTAGAGCACATAAAATATTTTCTAGTCTGGGACATCGTACAGTTAAATGGCTATGAAGACATAATACTTTGAACCTATATATTGGCACATTGGTTCTGAGCCTGACTTTTCTTTCATAAACAAACCTGAGTCCACCTTCAAGGAACAGGGCTTTCCAGGTTCCCTCTTCACTCTGTGCCCCCATTCCTCCCCAAAACTGCTGCTGGAGGTAAGGGTATAGAATATGCAAGGGACTATAAGTGGAGTAAAGTAGCAAAGAATTAACCACTCCCTTATAGGAATGGAGCAGCAAGTTAAGATGCAAACCCCCTTGTCCACTACCTATTTTGAAGTCTTTTTTTCATAGGCACACTTGTTTTCTCTAGGTTATAGACACCTGTTTGGCTTCCTTACAGAAGTTCATGTGTTTGGGTAATGCCAAGTCAAACAGATATTTGATGCCTATAGGAATCCAGGTAATATTTTAAAAACTATTGTTAATGCCAACACAAATCAACATGAGCAGAGATCATGGGCAAGGTTCAGTCTTCAAACTAGGTTACACTTTCAACTAACTGGTTTCTGTATTTCCCGTGAAGGTAACAAAGAGTGAGGATGAGTGAGCTTTCATTGATAGAAAATTACATTCAGATTTGAAATTTCCTAGGTGTTTGCTTGATAGCACTTGTTCTACAAGTAGATTTGTAACAACTGAGTAACATTTCTAGCAACCTTCTCTTATGTTTTGCTTTTCTTTTTCCCCAAGTTCTAGGTAAAATACGAACTGCAGTGGGCAGTGCTCAGCTTCTCATGGCACAGAAATTTTACCAGTTCAGAGAACTGTGTGAAGAAAACCTGGTATGTAATATTCTGGACACAATTTGATAATTATATTCAGATATTAACTCTGTGCGCCTTCCCAGATGTTGTATGTGTAATTGGAATATGCTGAATGGGTTGGCTTTTTACAGATAGTTAAAAGAATTGTTGAGATACTATAAAAGTGTGATTTTGAATCCTAAAAGTAAGATTTCTCACATGTGCACGCACATAGACCTACACACTCCAATTACTTTTCATCTAAACAGCAGTAAGATATAATTTTTGTTACTTGGCTTGATCGCTTACACCGCATGCTACAGTCATACTTATCTCTGCAATCTTGGCATGGATAGGTACACTTGGGCAATAAAAGCCAAGAAGCACACTTCAGTTGTTGGACCCAAGATGGGTTTTGCTGTGTTGGCCAAGTAACCCCTTTGTAGGTTGAGGGAAGCAGTGAGTGAGTCATTCAGGAAGAGCAGCAAAATCCCCTTGATTCACCAGTGACAGCAGCTATGTCAGTGTCCAGATGGCATGGTGGAGTGGCCAGCATGGTCTTGGTGTCCCCATGGCTGACCGTAACCCCTTTTTTCACCCACCATGGTTTCCCCTGCTTCCCCTTTCCAAAATCACTTTTTGTGGTCTCTGAGCTGACCCCTTCCTAGTGATCAAGCATCATATTACAAGGGATAGTACTGGTTTACCACTTTTTAATTACTTTCACTGTGTTTCCAATGTGTACAAATATTTTCATAACTTTTGAATAGGTCTGCACAAATGCAGAAGTGCACACTTGTGTACTTCTGAAGTGGGAAGCCTTGCCTGGGCAGTACCTGGGGAGATACCTGCTATCAAAGTGCAATGAGCACCAACCTTGGACATTGACCCAGAGAGATTACAAATAGGGTTTTGTTTTTTTTCCTTTGCCTTATCCAATAGCTATCAAAGCTATCACTTGAGCTGACAGAAACAAAGCTACATGATGTCTTTGCCTGCAAAAGAGCACCCTTTGCAATGAAATCCTCTATTTTTATTTTGTCTCTACCTAACTCTTCTCAATGTCATTACATTGTCCATCCTTTCCCAAGACTCTAAATCAGTGAGGGCAAACCTTTTAGAGACCGAGTGCCCAAACTGCAGCCCAAAACCCACTTATTTATCACAAAGTGCCAACACTACAATAAAACCTGAAAACTAAGGTTTTAGTTTAGAAAAAAACACCTCACAGCCAGTCCAAGCAAATATATATATCCTTGGCAGCGCGCTGACCAGCCACGCGAAAGCTCGGACAAGTTGCGGCTAATGAATCGTGGCTTGTTACATCATTGCCTGGCGCAGCTACTCCTTTCCGAGCATGCGCATGACCCCTATGTGTGCTGTTATCCGATGCTCGGCTGCTGGGGTGACTTGGCTTGCATGCTGACAGAGAGGACTCTGTGTGCCCACTGCTGCATGTGTGCCATAGGTTCACCCCCACTGCTCTAGATGCTCAGGAATGTAGAAAAATGTAATCCACCTCCAGCATGGAGTTTTGACAACTGTCAAAGCTCAGGCTCCCTTTTAAAATGGCAGGGCCAGTTAGAGGGAGGGATTACCAGGAGACATGTATCTATGTTTGTAGGTATATGTCCTTTAAATGAATGCATCAACTGACCAGAATAGCACTGGACCATTTTGCTCAATCTCCATAGCTCACCATGACTCATTTACAGTGGTCCAGTGAAGAGCTGTTTGAAGGTTACTTAACCCTCAGACAGCCCACACCACATGGGTTCTGATGATGTGACACACACATTCAGCTGCTAGGGGCTTAATACACAGCACAGCAACCAGCCACTGTCTGTAGCTGCACATGGGGAAGAAGCAAGTTGTTGCATGGTTCCAAGTTAAGTATGGGAAGGCCTCACTTTCAAGAGAAGACTTCAGCTGTAGTGGGCAGAGAGTAAATTGGGATCTGCTGCTATTCCTGATGATACCAGAACACATAGTAGATCTGCAAAGGTACCTAACTCCTAATTGTTTAACAACAGCAACAACAAAAAGACTTTTTTAAAGATCCTGAAACAAAGAAAGGTGGGGTAGGGAGAAGCCAGGACTGAATGTTTGCATGAAAGGACAGAGCTTAGTTCTGAACTAAAAACAAATCCCACCCTGAGCATACGCTTAGAGGCACCCTGCTCCTTAATTTTAAATGTAGGATTAATACTTTTCTCAGGGCTTTGCTGGTGAGCCTTAGTAAAAATTAAGGTAAAACCTGTAAGCCTTAGATCTACCTGTCCCTTTAGTAGTACAGGCAGAAAGCTGTATCACCTGACATAAAGCGGCATGGCAGGAAATGTTGTATTGACCTCCACTGTGATCTAATTTCTGTTCAGGAGTCATACAGGATTGCACCATTTGCAAATATATAGCAACAAAACATATCCCAGTTCAAACACAATGACCTAAGCAATCCTTAGCCAATGAAGCTGAATCTTAAAATCATATTTCTTCTGCCCTCCCCCTCATGAGTTCTACTTCCTTGCCTCACTTCCAAATTTTGTAAGACCATTTTTTGCCCTTATGTCAAAATTGAGTAAACAGTTGTGCAAATCTAGTTTGGATGTTGTAGGAAAGATAATTTCAAAGTGGGCCTGCTTGGGTTTGGTATTTGAGAGCCAGTGTGGTGTACAGTTAACAGTGAGGGATTGAGACTGGAGTGACCTGGGTTCTAACCTCCACTCAGCTGGAAGCTGGAGCTAACTGGGTGACTTTGGGCCATTAGCTGACTCTCAGCCCAGCCTACTTCACAGGGTTGTTGTTGTGAGGATAAGATTAAGAGGAGGAAGAAAATTATGTAAGTTCCTTGAAAGGAAAAAAAGGAGGGATATGACAAGAGAGAGATAATGTAAAGAGAGAATATTTTATCTCTCTTTAAAGGCTTGGATATTTAAAAAATGGACCCTGCTCCATCTGAAATTCCTTTAAACAAAGCTGTAATGTTCTGACATGGACAGAAAAAGAGCTGAGGCATTCACAGAAATGTGGGCCTTTTCACCTGTCTAAACATGCCTGGGATTTCACCTTTAACCTATGAAGTTGCCTGTTCTGAGGCAGCACGTTGGTCCATGTAGCTCTGCACTAGATGCTCTGAATGATGGCCCCTCTCTGGGGTCTCAAGCCAGCATCTATATCTCAGTCATGCTACCTGGACTCCCTTTCAAACGGAAAAGCCAATGACTGAGCTGGGGACCTTCTGCATGCAAAGCATGTGCTCCACCCCTCTGCCATAATCAGTGAGGGGGACTCGCCTTATACTTTCCCTTTAAGTTAATGTTGTAGAGCTTTTCCCTACTGGTGCCTTCAAGATGTATATCCAGAATCATCTGAAATCCTTACAAATTTCAAATGCTGTGTTTGGAAGCGAACAGAAGTTTGTATCCCTAATCCAGATGAATCAAATAACAGTTAAAAGTCACTGGATAAAGCTAGAAACTGAATACATCAACCAACTTTTTCCTGAAGGTATTTCCACAAAATATTTTTGTCATGCTTCTTTCCTTCTTTTCTGCACAGAATCCCAATGCACATCCAAGACCAGCCTCCCAGGATTTAGCAGGGTTTTGGGATATGCTGCAGTTATCCATAGAAAATATTAGTATGAAATTTGATGAACTTCATCAGTTAAAGGCCAATAATTGGAAACAGATGGATCCGCATGACAAGAAGGTAGAACACTGTCGATTTTGTATGCTTCATTTAAAACCCTGCACAAATACTGGACAGATTAAATAGGCCTCTGCATACAGCATTGATGTTAAAAACATGAAATGGAGCTTATATCAGATTAATTTCATTGTAAAAGGAAAACAATGTTTACATAATAATCACCCGGGATATGATCTGTAAAATGTTTCAGGCATATTTTTAAGGCAAACTTGTTTCTGTGAATTGAATAATGGGAATGTGCTCATTTGTCTTATTATACTTAACGTATAATCATATTAGATAATCAAATGTTGGAAGGAACTGCCTCATATATTGATTCTTACATTTTAAATAAATAATATAGACATCACATAGTACTGCTTAGCGTAAGAGTTCTGTTTACCAAATGCACTCTGAATTGTGTCAGTAAATAAAATAGGGAAGTACTGTCCCCATTCCCATGGATAAATGTATGGGTATTCTCAAACTAAACCATCATAAAACTTACATGGCAAATTTCTTATGTCATTGCTTTAGTTTGTTTTCCTTTGAGGTAGACCTCATAACTGGTTTCACCTCATTTATTTCATTTAGTACAATCCACCTGTACAGCATTAAATAGGATGGTAAATCAAAGCTCTTCTGTGTTTCCTAAAGTAAGATGGGTTTTATTTTTTTTATAATGCTTTAGCACATGGCTTTGTTTGTTTGTTTTCAACATTTGTGTCAGAAGCAGACCTTGGTCAATCTGTAGCAAGTCCACTGTCTCGATTCACTAGACATATCAGAAGAATCAGTAAGTGTTTAAAAGCTGGGGCATACCTCATTAAAGGTCCATTAGCATCAATAAGAAGAGATATAAGTTTAGTTAATAGAAAACAAATATGCAGATGATACAACAGAAATAGTTATGTGACCATTGGCAGGCAGGGGTGAAGGAGAAATACAGAAATTGGTAATTTGTATTCATTTTCTTTTCCAGAGCACAAAATTGGGAAGTTGGGGAGGGGTGAAATTTTGATGGGAAATAGAAACTCTTATTTTAAATACATTCCCCAAAATGAAATGTAAAATAATGAAATATTTAAATGAAATATTTAATATATTCTGCCTTCCTGGCCTTAATAACCTTAGCTTTCTCACAAATTACTATAGAAATCAACATACGAAATAGTTGAAGAGTTGATTTTATTGGGTTGGATCCATACTGAATTTGGCATAATTCTGCATGAGCTAGAGAAAGCGGATGCAGGGATGAACTTTAGCATTCCTCCTTCACCCAGCTGCCACTTGTGCATTCTGAGAAGCTGTTCTTGAGAATTTCCAGACCACATGTTCAGTGATGGAGCTGGAAGTAGAAGGAGGGGTCCAGGAAGATCATCTCTGTGCCCACTCCTTCTGGGGGGTGGGGGGAATCAGATTGCATGCTATGAATGGAAGGGACCCCCTATTTATTGATTGGTCAACCTGGATCCATCCCAATTTGTGCAAAATTTCATTTGCAGAAGTACATGGAGAGCAAAGAGCAATTCAGAACAGGGAGCCAAAGATTCTTCTAGACACAATAGTGATTAATATCAAGTTTTGTGTTATCTTTGCCTTTTCATAAGGTAAAGCACAGATTCAGGTTTACACAGCTAAACAAGGAAGTGTCTGGGGAGGAAAGCTATTTTCTCTCCCTTTCCCTCTGAATGTATATTTATTTATTTAGCAAACTTCTATGCTGCCCCATTCGCCGAAGCCTCGGGGCGGCTCACAACATAGCTACCGAAGCTCTTCTTAGTTACTTTCAGTTACACTTTCACTAGTTTTTCTACAGTTCTACATGTGTATCCTTAGTACAGCATTCTGATATCTTCATGTATAATGTCTGAGTCAAAGGATATACACAGGTTCAGTAACTGTGGTAAAATAAATACTGCAACTATTTCCACTCTTCCTAAAATATCCTTCAGTTGTTTCCAGAAAAACTGGGAAGTCTCTATGTTCCAGTTATGCAATTGACATAGTACTAGCGTAAGCAACCTCACACCAATAACATAAGGTGGCACAACAGGTTTTCCACAGAAAACCTGTCACATCAGCTTACTCCACCAGCACAATGCTAGTGGTCACTTACGCTAACACTGCATCAACTGAGTAAGTGGAATGATAGCACTGAATAGTTTGCCTTGTCTTTTGGGGAGATACAGGAAGGAATGAGAAAGTAAGGGATGAGACACCCTTAACCACACATATGGCTGTGCCAAGCACACCCATAATGCAACCACAGGAACCTTGCTCTCTTCTGTGGATAACAAACAATAGTTTAGACACATAATGAAACTTGCCCCTTACACATGCTCAGTAGGGAAAAGACAGCAATCCATCTTGCTTAAATAACAGTCTTGGGAAGCCCATGCACCTATCCCTTTTCATTTGTTTTTCCTAAACCACGATACAGACAAATGGGTATTTTTATGAGTCCCTTAAAAGACTACCTAAGCTCTAAACAATTGGTGATCTTACAAACAAAATGTTCTGTTAAGTGTTGAAATATCTCCTTAGGCAAAAGGTTTTCATTGTCAACATCATGAAAATACTACTTTAATGCAAAATTGACCCACTCAGCAAAAGGAAGCATTTTTAAAAGTATATTTCTAAAACCTGATATGGGAAAATAAAGTGTCTGTGGTGCACAGTTGCCAAGGTGTTGTTAGGTTAATGCTCAGGATCTTAGCTTAAATTAATGGTTCATTTTCCATACTTAAATGAGAGATCGATATTATTTGTGAACATGTTTTTGTATTTGTGCTTGTTATCCTTCATCCTAAACTGAAAGAGCATAGATCACGCTTTGCATGCAAAAGAAATGTAATGTTTCAAACAAATTCATCTCAGTTAAAATGACCATACAAGTCAAGCAATTAAAGCTGTTTTGCTCTACCATGAGAAAATTAGAAGTTATAATGAGACTTATGTAGTATAATGTAATGAATAATCCCTTATTTAAGAAAGCATGACTGAGATGGAAGGCCATACAGGTTTAAAAAAAAAAAGTATAGGGGCTGCAGATACGCACTTTTATTGTAGTGTCCTGCAAGTCTAGATGTAACATACATTTTTCTCTGAAGATACCCAACTTTGAATGTATACATATATATATATATATGTATGTATATATAGCATGTGTATATATAACCTCTTCTCTTTGCTAACAATGTTATATTTGGATGCCAAAGCAATGATTAATGTACGTTCTTAGAATGATTTTTTAAGTAACCCCCACCAGCTTTTGAGTTTGTAATTCAATTGTTGACTTCTGGTGCTAATTCAGCATAATGCTACACTTTAAGAAGCACTTTTAGAGCAATACCCAAAGAGTGTATCTTCTGACCAGGAAAATCCACCCCTAACGACATGCTCTTTTTCATTTTGTTTTTAAAATTCTTACTGTGATAACTAACATCAGGCTGCTAGTTCATATGACTGTGTGAAATATATCCATAAGTCCTCAGTGTTGTAAGCCCATTTAGTCTTGTGTATGTATACTGTATATAAGGAGGGGGTAAAAGCCTCATTATATGTGTCTTTCATACCTATTACACTCTATTCTAACATGCTGAGTCAATTTTATTAAGAAATCCCAAGACTTTTATTAACTGTTGGGTGATGGGTGGGTTAATTACATAGCAACTTTCTAATACCTTAGATTTCTGACATTGTATTAAGCAGTGATACTAAGTTCTGTTTAAGATGCTGTCCTTTCTAATCCCCGGTACCAGGAAGAGGAGTTTAGATTTCCCAGAGGGACCCACATGCCATGTTTAATGGTGGGAGCTTCAGCCCTTTTCGGCACCAGGCGTGCAGCTGACGCACCGTACCCATGGAGAACTAGCACTGCTACCAGTGCCATCCTCTTTTTTTGCCTTAAGATTATGTTATGTTTATGAGTCTTTGAATACCGATGAAGAAAAAAATGCAGATAAGAACTAACAAACTTTAGGTAAAAATGTATGTTCTAACCCCCAACCTGTCCTAGTTTGTGTTTGTGTCCCCCTCCTTTTTTGTTTTTCATTTTCCCCTGAGAAGCTGTATAATGTCATTAACCTTCTGCTTTGATCAGGAGAGAAGGGCCCCTCCTCCAGTGCCAAAGAAGCCATCGAAAGGTCAGGTGCCACTCATACGGGAACGCTCCTTGGAGAGCTCACAGCGTCAAGAGGCCCGGAAACGGCTGATGGCTGCCAAACGAGCTGCGTCTGTCCGTCAGAACTCAGCCACTGAAAGCGCCGAAAGCATTGAGATTTACATCCCCGAAGCCCAGACCAGGCTATGAAGGGATCCAACCAGGAGGACTCTTAATGGCAAGAAACATCTCTTGTATAATCTGCCCTTCTAGGTCCATGCTCAGAGACACCAATAAGTATTTGTATTCCCCTCCCTTCCTTTATCTCTCCCTTCTCTCCCAATGAAGTAACACTTCTGTGGCGTAATTGTCAGTCCTCGAAGAGATTTTCGCTAACACCCCTTGCTTTCTAAAGGTTTGCCCATGTCAACCTAATGCTTTGTCAAATGTACCGATGCTGCCACCTCGCCTCATGTAAAGAATCCCACAGACACACAAATGAACACTCTTGTGCGTGCACACACACACATGTACAGTAGATTCACCAATTTATTAATTCTTGGTCCTTAAAGCTAGTCTGTTATCTAGTGTACAGCAATATTAAATCATATGGTATTTTGGAAATCCAGTATTGCAGGGTAAACCTTTGAGATTCTGTTGTCTTCCTCATTCATGATAAAAGAGCTCTAGCTCAGAATCCCTTCTTTATATAATTATTGTTTTTCTAAAAAAAGAAAAAAAATCAGATGACCTGCATTTTGTTCCTCAGATATCATACCTTCTTACCTGACAAACTGGAAGGAGGTGGGGACATAGGCAAGCTGCAGTAAAAGTCGAAGTGAGTCTTGCAGATGAAGTATAAATGATCTCATGAATTGAAACTGGCAGCTCACTTCAGAATCTTTTTTGATCAGCAGGACAGTATAAAACTGATTTCCAAGGGAGAAACAATGCAATTTTAAAAGGCAATAAAAAGCAACATTTGGTAGTAAGATGGAAAAATACTGAATGTTAGAATAAGGGAATAGGTTGGTCCAAGTAACCAGGAAGAATGTTTAAGATTATACTGCATTGTCAATTCCTATTGCAATGGATGGAGCACATCAGTTAAAAAGAGGTATGAGGGAAAGAGAAAAATAAGCTTGGTTTTATTGATGTCATAAACCTTGGAAAAACTTTCAGATTTTGTACATCTATACACATACATCTATTGTTGAAATGCTGTAAATGAAATACATGTTTGTCTGCTACAAGTCAGACTGCTTACATCAAACTGCTTCATACCTTCTCCTTCAGTCTCCTCTGTAAACCAGAAAAGACTTCCATCTGCAGAATCAAAGAACTGATGCAGAACATCAGCTGGTGAGGAGCATACAATTCTTTGCAGAACTGTCCATGCATACTTGTGTACTCTCTGAAACCAAGGCTAGTAAGCAATCCTTGGCAAAGTATTAGTTGAGAAATTACCTGATCATAACATTCCATCTTTATACCAACTACCATGCTAGTAAGGAGTGTTACAACCTGTTAAGCACCACAGAGTTTTGCGGATGGTATCCAGTATCCCACCAGCACACGTGACAAAAATCAGATATGATGTGAGCCCTGGTTGTAATGCACTAAAGAACTAGCAGAATATGAGTTCTGTTGCAAGGTTTGGTCTATGATACATCCTCATTCTGTTGACTCAAGTTAGTAGACTAGGGGTGTGGGCTGCATACAGTCCTCCTTCATTAGTGCATTCCCAAGTACCACGCTAAGAAATTGGGCCTCTTTATTCCTTGGAGCATACTTTTCCCACTTGGGCACCCATGTTGAACATGGCAGGTAGCGGCCCCCGTTCATCACAAGATCATGAGAGATCTTTATTCTGTAAAGAGATGCTACGGTAAGAAAGTGCACAGTCAGACTTGATAAATTATACTCTGCTTCTTACCAGAGTTGGCTTTCAGTGCCCTTACTGGTAAAACATTCCAACTGTGGAATCCTTAACTGCATGGTTGGCATAAATGTGTAGCTTGCATCTCAAAATATCAGCTGTTACTATCAAAAAGCTGGCCTTTTTTGAAAATATATGTCAGTGGATCATGCCAGGACATATCACATAATATGGCATCATAGTCTGGTGCTATCTTTAATTTTATTCAAGAATTGGGAGAGGTAACAAGTTCTGGCAAAGAAAACTTTCAAAAACCATTTGTAGAACCACTAGAAAATTTGCTACCTCTGAAAGCCATTGATTTATCCAAACTATATGCTTATAAACAGGGCACAAAATATCACTGCTGTGTTTTACAAGTAAAGGGCTAATAATTTGATATTTTAAAGACTTTTAAAGAGTATGATGAAAAAGCCAGTGTAACCCGGCACATGAACATGGAAAGTTTGATTTGCAAGGTTTTCAGTTTCATTGTATTTGCTAAGATCATTTTTGTTTTACTTTAAGAATGCTTTTCACAAAAATTGTAGTAACCATGAAGGCTCACACACTATTTGGGGGGTCTGCATAGTGCCAATTTGCAACCTTTAAATATATGGCCATGCTATGTATGAAAAAGATTTAAGAACACTTTGTATGACGATGTACAAAATAGCAGCAATTTTCACAGCTATATTTATATATTTAATTGAACACTTTGGAATAGGAGTTAAGGCTTGTGAGAAGCAGCTAGAAAATAACTCCATAAAGATGATGCAATAAATCTGACAGATTCCTATACCATGAGCATACACAGAATTAATTACTAGTAAGATCCAATGAATTTCTCTGGGTTTGCACCCAAGTAAATATGTTGAGGATCAGGGTCCAAACCTGTATTCAAGGATAGTTGCATTTATAAATCATAATTTTGGTATATAAAAAACCTGTTGGCATGATGCTTAGTCATTCATATGGGTTCTATGAATGGGATGAAACATTCTAATTTCTTCTTAGTTTTTGAGGAAAACTCAGCTGGTATCCAGATTATGAACCCTTGCCTACAACAGGACTATGTCTGGTCTGAGAGATGAGAAAAGGCAACAGCACCATCTTGTCTAATTATTTGTTGGCATAGCAAGACTATGAATGATTTTTCTTGCTAGAAATGGATGCTGCATTTCCTATGGTTGTCATTTGTTGACTTCTTGCTGTATTACAGAGCACCATAAACAAGATAAAGACAAAAATAGTTTAAAAATATACATTTAAGGCATGACCAGCCCAAGTTAAGAATTTTAGTACCATTAATTTCAATGGAAGACTTAAGCACATGCTCAAATTTCCCAATTGAAATTAATGAGGCTACAGTCCTATACATGCCTGCTTAAAACTAAACACCATTGAGCGCAGTAAGACTTACTCCCAGGTAAGTAAACATAGGTTGTCACTGTTAAAAGTGATAAACTTGGCTGGATCATGCCCATTACTTTAAACTAATTTGTATTTTGTTTTTAAGAACCCCAAATTGTGGAAAAATTGTTACTATCCAGTTTTTTAAAATACCAAACTATTGGGAGGGGTTGGGGGGTATGAAAACAAGGTGTTGGACTCCAAAACCAAACATTTTAAAGTATTTATTATATTTTTTTTGCAGACGTTTCCATAAAATACTCTTAATCTTTTTGTAATGACAGATGAAGAAATGGATTAAACATTTTAATATTGAAAAGGTAAATAGTAATAAGTTATTTGTAATATATTTCAGTTTATTTATTGAATATTTCCTTAAGGTTTTGGTGTGCACAATCACTTTAATTTAAACTTTATATTTGTGAATTTCCTGTTTGTTTTTAATTTATAATGCATATTTTAACTAGAATGTAAGTCCCCGGCATACTCACATTCTACCTGCATTCCCAGTCATGATAATCAGTATGCTTTTGATTTGCAAAATTGGTACAACTTGCAAAGCCTTTGGATGGAGGAATCCAAGAGCATTGTGTGGCATTTTGAATTGGGTTTTCATAGGAATATACCTATATGGTGTGTGGACAAAAAAATGTAAATAGATTAATGTTTCCCATAATGTAAAAAAGAGCAAATTAATAAAATAAATAATGCACTGCTTGTAAGAGCTGTGGCTTTTCAATACAAATTCTGATTCCTCTCTTTGCAAAAAAAAAAAAAAAATCCTTTTGGCTGGGTTTTATACAATGGCAAAAAAATAAAAAACTGTTCCTCATGGGAAAATTACAGTGTGGAATTTCAGATAAACTCTGCAAAGCTATGATAGCCATGTCCCTGACTTGCTGAATTCACTGTGAATCCTTTATATATCTGTTCTTTGGAGAATTCAGTCTTTACTCCTCAAAAGATTTCAGACTCTCTATTCTACAAAGAGACCATTTAGTGAGAATAAAGATACCACAGTGTCTAAAGTTGCGGTAACTATGCAGACTCACTCTTTTTTGAGGTTTCAATCATATAATAGAAAACATCAGAATGCTTTGGGGGAATTGCTGATGCAAATGGAATGCCACTTGGAGCAACCATCATTCTTCATGATTTCAAGCAGTTTCCACTGCATGTTTGCTTCTACTCTTACTTTAGCGTCATAAGATTCTTCTACCTTTTTTGAGGGGGGGGAATAAAGCAGTGATGAGCAGCTACTACTTCAAGCTAAGAAATGTGAGACGAAGGGGCTGCTTAGCTTTTTCCCCATTCAAAATCTATCCCCACCCTGTATTACACCCATGGACAAAAAGATCCAGGTACCTCTCTTTTTCTCTATGAAAAAAATGACTAGATGGAAAGGATTAAGCCATTCTATGCAAACACAAGCGTGCACACTCACACACAAACACACACAGAGCTTCTCTATTCAGATGTCTACATCTTTTTCCTCAATTTAAGAATAAGACAAAACATACTTTGGGATACTGTTATATGCACTTGATGGGTAAGTATACTTTGGACTCCAAAGAGCACACATTACAGGTTCGCTATCCATCAAGTGCAATGAGTTTTTTGCTCAACGACTAAAAATATTATCTGGGGATTATCTTCTGAAGTTTGCTTCTGTAAGGTTAATGTCAACTTGCTCAGACATTCTCACAGGTTGCCCCTAAACTGTAGAATGGTCTGCTGGGAGAAATGAATCTGATATTCCAGATTGCTACCTTCAAGAGGGAGTTAAAAACATATCTCTTCTGACAGGCCTTCCCAGATTAGTTCCCAGAATAATTTAATTTAATATGTTTGTTTTTAGTCAGATTTTAATCACTATTGGTTTTAATCTCTTGCAAGCCATCCAGAGCCTATAGGAATGGTGTGTGTGTGTCCATAATGCCTAAGTATGTACCTACAAACCTAGAAGGGCAAAGTACCTTGAATATTTACTTTGTTCTCTCTGCTCATTTCAGAATTATCTTGCAAATAATATGTCGTGTCAATAAGCGTTTAGAAAAGAATATCTCATTTTCTGAGAGCAGATTCCCAGCTTGTAAAATTGGAGCACATAGACCACTGGTGCCGTGCTCATTGACATATTGTCCTCTAATTTTTTTCTTTCCCCTGCCTTTTATCCATTCTCACACCAAGTGACTACTGAGAAATTCACCCTTTCCCCAACAAATTAAGATATCCAGGAACAGCATAGGTGTTTAAATCCAGAAGGAGCAAGGGGGCAACCACTACTACATAATAAATCATGCAAGACACAATCAAAAGAAGTGATTCGAATAGAGAAGATGGTCTGGTAAAAGCAGTCAATGAGAGTTTCTTAGCAGTTAAGGGTTAAATAAGACAGACATCGTTTTATTGATGCCATGTGCTAAAGCCACTGTCTTTGGGTTTCTGGTTTCTTCAACGCTGTACGTGCATAAAATTGCATGCAACATTCTGGGCTTCTTCTGAAACTCAGAATGTTACATGAAGCTT